TATTACCTTTACCCTAAGTCCCTAGGTAAGGTAACTACTTACCTAGCTGTCCAATGGACAATCTGGTTTTAGGTACATGCATGTATGTATGTATTGATACAGTACCTTACAAGACCAGTGGGTACCTCCAGCTATCCATCATGACGCTATATTTCCCTTGCAGGAATTGAAGTAAGGTGCCTATTTAGTGCCCTTTTGGGTGCACAGGCATACAGAGTGGACACCAGGGCAGTCTCATTGGACATAGAATCATATAGTTACTATTCTGTATTGAGTCAGTAAGAAGTGAACGACGTCAAGCAGAAAATTGTCCACCACAGCCAATAAGTATCTACCTAGTGGTCGTCGAACCTTAGGTAGCTAACTGAACTTATTATTATTTCGATGATCATGTCTCAAGCCTTTGGAAGAAACTAGGTACCAAGTCTACAGACTATCTAGGGCAAAATCTTGTGCTACTACCAAATGTCCAATAACGACGGCGGCTTATGTGGGACCTTCGAGCTTGGACGATAGGTACGAGCCTACGTTAATAATATAATGCTGGACGAGGAAGATAATGCACCTGAAGTACGGAGTAGTCCAAATACTTATTGGCAAAGCCAGGTGACCAATGCCATGAGGCCCACGAGCACTCAGGAAGGGAAGTTGATCAGATCCTAGTTATGTAGATGGCTCCCTAACATTTCCCCATCACCATATGTATATGATTTGATTGCTTCCTTCTCTTCAATTCGGATACTGGACTTTAGGAAATAATGATTGCATTCCCATAAATCGGATTCGAGAATTCATGCATCAGAGAGTGGTATTCCATATATAACTGGATTAACTGGCCATGGATCACTATCATGCTCCGTGGAAGCTAAGCAGATGGACAAAGTTTGATCACATGGCGCACTACGGCATTTTAGGCATAGATCCTCTGTCATTGATTTAGAGACTCTCAAGTGTCCTGTATTCTAGGTGTCGCTACTCGTTGACTATAATAAATGCAATGCTTAAGAGCAAGAAGGGAGGAAATGACTTTACAAACACTTATGTCACGTAGGACCATAACAACGCAATGATGATGATAGATTTCATATGTAAAGTATATCACTGGAGCATTCTAAAGAGAAAATGCGAAATTCATGAAATCAGGGCAACTTTGGCCACTCAATTTGGTGGATATGCTGGTCATAAGTTGAGATTATCGTTTTAGGACTTTGTGTATGTCGTACTATGTAATTCTTTCAGAGTACCTTACCAAGCTGTATGGTAATTAGTTAACTACTTACCGGGAGCTTAGGTAAAAGGAGAGGCACCAGGCGCCATGCGTCTGGTCCACTGGTGTCAAGTGACCAGCCATGATTTTTACTGGAATCCGCCTGATTGGCTGCCTTTCCTGCTGCCCACTCACCCGGCGTATGAAAGTAACAGAATTGGTACAATCTCGAGCCGCCGCATACTTGCGCCGTCCAGGATCTAGATCTCTACTTACTGTCTTACCTTAGCTACCTTAATCATTCAGACCACCTGCTGACTCGAGAGGTACTGACAGGTACCATACGTAGGCAGTTTGCGATCATGCCCTGGTCCACGATGAAATTATCTGCTTGTCAAGTGACCAAAAGCTCCCTGGAGTCGGGAATTAGCCTACAAGCCAAGCTTGACGAACTGCGCCACCCTTCTTTTGTGTCTTGAAGGACGACTGTGACACGCATTGCCTGTTTATATACGCGGCATAGATATATACTTGTCAAGAATAGATAGTCCGACGCGATGGGCCAAGACCGGTGTGGTTTTATCGTTTTTCGGCATCCCATGACATGGATCTGGACAATCGGCTGCTGGCACCGAAATGGCCCCCGATCGTCATGAACCAGCCCGTTCATGACAGCAGCTCTTGGGTACCCCTTGTGACATGAAGCCCCGAGGGCATTTGGGACTTCATTGAGTCTTTGGACATATGAGAATACGAAATGTGCCCGGCTTTTCCCCATGAATGTTAGTTACTAAGCCTGGATTGGATCTGCGAACGGACTGGACATGCCATTGACGCTGTCTAGTACTTCTAATAGTGCTATTATGGTCCGTGGTTTCGGATTCTATGATTCTCGGCCTGCTATATACGTGGCATCATGGCTGTTATTGAATTGTCATGCTTGAAATATGTTAGTATATCCCTTCGGAATCCTGATGATCATCGGTTAGGTGGCCTGCTTCGCCTCAAGCATGGTGGACATCATGACGTTCCAACTAAACACCACCTGATATCAACAGGCAGGAAATCAGTACGCCGCAGTCTCAGTTCTACAGGTATAGATCAAACGGTAGGCAAGCTCTAAGGAGAAAATCTCTAGAGGAAAATTTGCATATATTGTAATCAACGCAGATAGGCGAGCAGTGCACTGGGTATTGTGGTGTGAGTACTCGGAGAATTCCCAATACAATATCGGTTACAGAGTACCTTATCTGTATCCTCCCTAAATACTTACATCTCGGGTTTCAGCCCATAGATGATAAGACGCTTTGTCGGTGCCGGTCATGTACGTGATAATTTCCTATTCCATGGTACCAGGCACCTCATTCCAACACTTGAACCGGGCTGTGGGTACATGGGAAGGTCATGTAAGTACTAGCGCTCTTGGTGCGGTCAGCAGATCATGGTCTGTTGGGTCGATTTCCCGATTCCGAATTTTTTTTTCTCTGGTGACAGAGGCTTGCATGGCACTAGCTTGCATGGCACTAACTTCTTGGGCTGCGATCCTGTGAGAAGACGATGCATATCATGATCTCTGGTTGCTAGGAATTCAATCAATGCCACAAATTCCCCATTAAGAATAGTTCTATATATCTGGGAGATGTGGTATTGTGAACAGCGTGGGAACAGTGGTTGGACAAGTCAGTTGTCAAATAGCATGGCCGTAAATCAAACAATATAGAGAGGCACTGGCAAATCAAATCATACCGGTTGAAGTATATCTGAGACCAGGAGGGATGTTTCTGACATTGACAGGCAGCTGTCCTTTACCCTGAACCATCCATATCTGAAAGACTCGGACAGAAAATGTTCGAATTTCATAATTTTTCTGCCTTGACTACCTATCTTAGAGATCCTGCTACAGGAATCAAGTCGTAGACCTCATCGACAACCAGTACTGCTTGGTCGACTACAACAGTGCTTCTTAGAGTTCCTCTGAGTAGCTGCTTGGACTAATATACTGGAGATCTCTTTGCTATATACACTGTTCATATATCCTCTCTTCATTTAGGTTGGTAGATTTGACAGAGTTAATCTACTCGCAAGGGAAAGACGAAAGACAGATATACATGCACCAAGTACCTGATACCGAACAACTACCTGCCTTATCCTTCGATTATGACCATATTCTTCTGACAATAATGGCCATTGCTATAGCATCAATGCAAAACAGTAAAGATACCCAACTCGCCTGATACTACTGTCCTCCATCTACCTCTCTACTGCTCTTTTGAAAGTTCAAGAGATAATTTAACCGGGGAAGATGATGTCACAGTGGGGCTGAAACAATTTGCTTGGGCGTTAGGACCGTGGATAAACCGTAAGTCAGAATAAGTGTCTGCAGGGATTCAGGACTCTTAAAAGACTTCGAAAATTAATCTCCAGTCTTCACCATCGCCCAACCTCGCGACTTCAAGTTCGGTGTGGCCCAAAAGTCGCCACAGACGATGCCTAATCGCTCTCGAGGCTCGACCTAACTACATACTAGTATCGAGCATTCTGCCTCTCTAACAATCCGCATGCTAGATACCTCCAGGAGGAACCTTGATACGAATGTGGAGTTAAGGTAACAGACGTGGGGCCTGAGAAAAGAGTGACTCGAGCAAACGACCTGTTTAGCGAGCCTAAGTAGACCAACAAGCTCACCTATGTGGGTTGGAGTTAGGTACGTTCATGAGCTGTGTTCTCACGGTATCATCCATTGCGTACCTTTTTCCAGAAAATCTGGGTAAATCAGTAGTCAGCATTCTGCAACGAGTCAGGGACTAGCCTAGTAGAATCTCGTGATAGGTATGTAGATATTATCTATATGCTCGATGCCATGCGTGGGTTGTTGAGGGAGTACTTTTTAGTTCCAGACGGAAGTGAGTTGAACAATTGACGAATTGTATTGGACGACCAAAGCTGCATTGCTGACCTTTCCTTCCTCATTGTTCCAATATTATGAACGTACAGGAGCGCCACGGCATTAGAGCTCATAGGCGATCTCGGCTTGGGTAGACTCGAATAACTCGACACATTGAAAGATAGGAGCTTCAGAGACCGACAATAAAATAGGGCTGTTGCAGTTGTTGTTGAACGCAGCCTGCTTTTCTGATGTTGAGTAGACATCAGATCTTGAATGTCAATTGGTGCCGGGCATGGCTTCTACTCTGAGCGACTGAATGCTCTCTTGTCCCTCTCGAGAAGTGCCTATCTATGTGGCTCGATACCCAATGACACCTGCGGTCTTCGTTGATCTTGTGTCCACATACCCGTCTCCAAAAGTCCAACTGCTAGGAAACTTAAATTGTTTTACATTGATCCCTCTAAGATGTCATGAACATAACAGTTTCCTGCCATCGCTTCCATGCATTCCATGCTCTGCAGTCCCAGTCGACAAGCCAGCATCGCCCATCACAACAAATGTGGTACCAATAAGGACAAGAAAAAAGGAACAACAGTCTCATAGATGAAGCCATGACGCGGAAGTCGGAAGAGAAATAATAGGAGACTCCCCAATAAATCGAAGATGGATCTATACAAAGATTGGTTTCCTTGGCGCCAAACGACCGCCTTCCTGCACCAGCAAATCGCGTTCAAGGGCATAACCGAGGTGATACACCATCCTCCAGAGGTACACGTGGAGAGAGAAGATCTAATAAAACAGATAATGGAAGAATAATTCAAGCTGGATGGCGGAGTAGCCAAAAAAAGCTCCAGTTTCCCACAAGCAAGCGGGTATGATTAGCTCCAGCTATGCTTTAGGGACGGTTTAGAAAGGAGGAGGGATCATGCCCTGAGCCTCGATCTTCTCCTGCTGCTCCATCAATTCCTCGCCAGCGATCTCGAGGGACACAGCAAGACCAAGCTTAGCCGATTGCTACAATGCGATACGAATTAGTGACCATTTAAATTCATCGAACACACAAAGGTTTATACAGACAACTCACCTTAGCCTGGTCGATTTCGCCAGCAAAAGTAAGAGAGATGGGCATGGCTATCCGCTTCTCCAGCAAGCAGCTAACCTTACCAGCGCTGTCAACCTGGGCACGGAATGTCGAAGCCCGGAAGTCGTACTTGGCTCCAATAGAGGTGGTACCGTCTCTGCTAGGGCCTCCCATCAAAGCAGCGGCTGCATTAGGAGCAAACTGAAGGTTCATGTCGACACCAGCCTCAACACGCTCAGAGAGCTTTCTCCAATAGGAGGCAGTGAAAACGCCCTGAGCCTGCAGCTGAGCACTGGCAATCCAGTCGTTTGCCTTGTATCTCGCACAGTACGAAAGGGCAGTCTCTGGGCGGGTGTTCATAGCTTGACGCTGCCAGATCGCTTCGAATCCAAGGGCAAGGCTGGGAGTGATGGACTGAAGATAGCTTCCGACAAAGATTCCAGTAAGGCCACCGTCCAGACAGGATGGGTTGAAGGCCTTAATAGATGCGGAGAAGTCATCACCGGTATAGTCGTTATCGATTTGCAGGAGGCCCTGGCTAGCACCGGCCATGATCTGAGTGTTGGTCTTGGTGACCAGCTTGGGGTTCCATCGGTAGTTGAAAACAGCGGCGAGAGCGCCATCGCTTCCGAAGTTACCTTGCATGAAAACCTGACGAGACGAGAGTTTAGTAACTGAAGTCGGTAAAATTCAAGGAGTCCATTTTATCGAGTAAGCGATGATGCATACCTTAGGAGTTCCGTACATGGCCGAGAAGGCATATGGAGGCAGGTTGCCAGACCCGCCCATGGAGAAGGCGTGCGAGACACGGAACAGGGGAGACATGCCGAAAACCTTTGTCAAGTCTGCACGGAGACCGCTGAACATAAAGTTAGACAGCAGGACCTCCTTCTGCACTTCCCTGGCAATGTTATCCACAGTTCCTGGGTTGGACAGGCCGAGGGCCGCCCTTCGCTCGGAGAACGAGTGGTATGCATCTTTGAGGGCGACGGCAGCGGAATTCTCCACAAGGAAAGAAGGAAGGGCTAAAAAGTCGGCCATTGTGATTGTCTGCGCAGAAGTGAACTGGCGTGATAAAAGGATGATCAGGTAATGAGGTTGACCGTCACGCGGGCTTGAGGGACGTCTTTCCTTCTCGCTATCGATGAGATGAGGAAAGACGAGATGTGAGACCAGCCCCGAGATTGCACTTAGAACGTGACGAAGGCAACTTCGCTAGTAGTTGCCGAGTAATTGAAATAATAGCAGGCTGCGTCTAATCAGCTCTAGGGGATTGAGACGGTAAGTGGAATAGTCGCAGCGCAACAATTGTTGATTGATCTTCCCAAGCAGCCTCTGACGGGAAAAAAAGCGACATTTGCTTTTCCGCCCCGGCATGCGTCTTTGGCACATACAGAGTCCCGAAGTCACAGGACTCGAGACTATGCCGCTTCGGGCTTAATTGGGATTGGGACATTGGGGCTTGACGATGATGATATAATTGCAGATTGGTAGATGAAGGGTCACTGTTGGCTACTGCAGTCTCTATTATTGACAGAAAACATTTAGCTTGCGAGAAAGTCCAAAAAGTTCTATGCCGAAGTTTCTAAGAAGCACTGTCGAGGTTCATCACCGAGTACTCCCGAAGGTACATGATCACACTGACTACTACACCAAAGCCAGCATTGGGCTGTATATTGGACGCCAACCATAGGCACAGTTCGCTATCACCGACAAGACATCTTTTACCAACCTCTAATCATTACTGGAGCTCGCAGGAACCTTTTGCAATCTAGTTTCCCTTCTTTCCTTTTTATCTTATTATTATTATCCCCACTTTCTCTTTTTCTTTTTTATTTTACCATTTCCATTGCCTTTCCCTCGTCACCCTGTCCGAAGCTCCCAACTCCGAAGGTTCCTTGGCACTTAGCCTTTGTGAATATCTCCTGTCTGAAGGATACTCTCCTCGCCTGCAATCTGTTTTTGAGAGCTTTCCTCTGGGTCGTTTTTATTCGGAGCTCAGTGTCTGAAATATTTCTCTAAGATGGATACACTACTGTAAGGACTGTTATTATTCCTTTATATCAATGCATTGAATACTCCGGGCGGCCAAAGGAGTCCGGTTCAAGCTTGGTCAAGAAACGATTCATATCCCCTTCCTTTGGGCATACCCTCGCCTTTGCTGTATAAGACTGTTCAAATCTAACATGGTTCAGAACGGCTGAAATTGTGGCCAATTCCCCTCGGTTCCGAAGGAAATCATCGACATTCGTTGATGCAATCCATGATTTGCCTGAGAAGGCCGATTTGGCACCAGCTCAACTGTATAGCACGGAGTCTGGTCGACTTTTCCATTCTGGAAGGATCGTGATTATCACTGTAGGCTTACCAGCGAGGGGCAAGACGTTCGTTTCACCATCTTGACGACAATCGAGCTAGTCATATAACTGACACTTCATGTTGTATTTCAGACATATTTCTGTAGCATTGGCGCGCTATCTTCGATGGTTGGTATTCCTGTCGAATCGGTCATGCTGTCATCGCTAAGGGAATTGCAGGCTAGGTGTAAAAACTAGGATCTTTCACCTTGGAGATTACAGACGAGCCACGATACCTGTTGGTCAAGACATCCCAGATGACTACTTTTTTGTCAATGGTGAGTCATGCGAGATTCTCTACCGATTTCGTCTTTGTTCTTCTTGCTACAGAGCACGTTCCACACTACACTCGCACCAGCGGATAGTTTATCCTTGACGTCGTTTCGTCCCGCTAACTGAATACAGCATCTGCATCATCGGTTCTATTGAGGCAAAAGATCATGAAAAGGTGTCGTGAAGACATATACCAGTACTTGAATTTCGAAAATGGCCAAATTGCGATTTATGATGCTGTCAATCCTTTAGCCTCTGGCCGACGATCGCTTGCGAAGGAGTTTGCCAAACAAGATATTGAGGTATGAAAATATCAAGACATCTCATCTCACCACACGATTTACGCGCTGGACTGTTCTGACGGTTAAAACACGCGCAGACGCTTTTCATCGAATCGTGGTGCGATGACGAGCGCATCATTGAGGAAAATGTTCGCAGAGTCAAGATCTCATCCCCAGACGTAAGTAAGTCCCTCCTAGCATGTGTCCGATTAAAATGACTTAAATCTTTCAGTACGTTGGCTGGTCATCAGAGGATGCAGTGAAGCACTACTTGACCAGGATATCTGCCAGAATCCCTCAATTTCAAACCATGGAGGAAAAAGACTTGAATTATATCAAGGTATCATTGGCTGAAAGACACGCCAACTTCAATACTAATTGAAGTACAGATGATAAACGCGGGAGAAAGACTGATTGTCAACAACAAAAGTTTCGGTTATCTATCTAACCGAATTGTGTTCTATCTTCTCAACCTTCACATCAAGTCCAGGCATACGTACTTTGCACGAGTAAGTCGAGTTCTGGTTGAATGGACTCTCAACACTAAACTTTCATTAGGCCGGTGTTTCGTTGGAGGCAGATTCCTATAAAGCCGATGCCTCTCTGTCTGAGCAGGGAGAGGACTACGCAAAGAAAATGACTGAACGTCTCCTGCAGCATAGGGAATCAGAAAAGCAGGCCATGATTGACCGAGGAGAGAGGGATTATGAACTCAAACCACTGACAGTTTGGACATCCACAAGACGCAGGACGGTTGAGACAGCGAAATATTTATACGAAAAGGGGTACAAAGTCCGGCAACGCTCACAAATGAGCCAACTGAACCCTGGTGTTTGCGAGAAAATGTCTGAGCGAAGAATTCGCGAAGAGTATCCGGACGAGGTGGCTAAGCATGAGCTCGATCCTTACCACCATCGGTACCCTCGAGCGGAGGTAAGCTCAATTTCAGCTTCAAATCTGACGTTGACCACCCGAGCTTACGACTATGACAGTCCTACCATGACCTTGCGGTGCGACTCGAACCCATCATTTTGGAACTTGAACGGGAGCAGAACGATCTTCTCATCATAGCTCATGAAAGCGTACTAAGAGTCCTCTATGGTTACCTCATGGCGTGCAATGCTGCTGATATTCCGTTCTTGGAGTTTCCACGTGATGAAATCATCGAAGTAAGGATACATTTAAGGCCCCCTAACCTACAGAGCATCCGACTAACCACTTCGTGCAGATTATCCCGGAAAGCTACCAAAATGAGGCGCGCAGAATACACATCCCTGATCTGCCAAAAGAGATTATACCTGGCTCTCCGCAAGATATCAAGATTCCTGTACCTCCCAGTGGGGTGCCCTCTCCCTTGGTTGGAGGAATAGGCAGTCCCAAGGATGGATTTTCAACACCACAAAGCGGCCTTCGAACTCCTCGTGAGCCGGAGAGGATATCGCAACAGCACGTGGACGATGTTGTCTGATCGTAGGTTCGGTCTGGCCTCAATGCTGCGTGTTATACAACTGACCTTAGATCGTGTCGAGTGCATGGAAACGATGATTCTTATAGAGCGCATGTAGGCTTCCAGGCGGATCTATCCTCCGTGAAGTGTTGAGACGAATATAATATTGTCCCCTGACTGGAGCTCGTATTTCTCTTCGCCTTCCAGTTCCCAGTCGGCATCGTTGATAAGGACGAGGATACCAGGTCGTCTACCACTTTCTGTCAGCCTTGCCACTGATTCATGGGGGCCCCATTCGCGACATACACATTGTCTTCCATTATAAATAGCTCTTTCCTTTGATCCTTCATAACATTGTCAACCAGATATCGTAACAAGTAAGCGATGGTTGGCCGACCGCCATCATCTACTTGAGCGGGTAGCGTGATATGATGTTTTCGCTCATTGGAGAAGAGAATCTCCAAACCACCACTGTACGAATGGGAGTCAGCAGGCGTTGAGGTGAAAGCAATGCATTCAAAGTTGGTCTAACGTGAACTCAACAGTAAGGGTGATGCTATCGGCACCACCTTTCACGCTAGAAGGGTCAGCCATGACTGCTTCAGAATGAGCCCACAGCCGGAGAAAATGTGGTTCTCAAATATTAACTCAGGAATAGTCGAGGAGTCGTGTTTGGCCGAAGACGTACGAGTGTGAGGAAAATGCAAACGAAGAGGGGCTGCTCTGCGATGGCCGCGCTTATCGATAAGCTTAAATTCCGGGCACAAAAAGTGGTCATTGATCCATTCGCTCCTCTCAGCATTCGAAAGATAGCGCCCTTCTGTCCCTGTCCATAGTTGGACTTTGTCGCCGCCCTTCTATACGAATTCAGATCACTAATCGGCGATCATTGCCAGGCGCATCCATGGTGTCAATCACGACAGAATACATCAGTGTTGGGGGAAACAGGCATCCAGCCGCCGCAGACTGGGATGTGCAGTTAGGTGTGCTCGCCTTTGGTGCAGATAACAATGTGGCCTTGTGGGATCCAAGGGTATGAGCTTCCTCAGTGTCTCAATTGGTCTCGACACAGCTGGACTAATACTGCTGTTGCCTGTCTAGGATGCCTCTCAGCGCGGGGTTTATGCCCTCCTCGTTGGCCATACCGACAAAGTCAGTGCGGTCAGATTCTACACATGTCCCGCCACGGGTACGAAGCTGCTTCTTACCGGCTCCATTGACCAAACGATTCGAATATGGCGGGCTGATGCAGTCGACCCCGCCAAATTCGCCCATGCACATACTCTTACGGGTCATACAGGCTCAGTAAATACGATTGCCGTTGCCGATGGCGTCGCTATCATCGCATCTGGAGCCGCAGATGGTACCGTCAAGATCTGGAAGATCGACACGCAGGAAACCGTAATAAAGGCCGATGTATTTCAGGATTTTACGATGAAACCTCGCTTCTTCCCGCTGGCATTATCATTGAAGCCGCTGTCAACAGAATCGAAAGACAAACCCGTGGTATTGGCAGTCGCCGGCACGATGAATAATGTTCAGATTTATGTTTCTGAGGACACAATTGCCGGTGCAAGCTTTAGACTATCTGCCACTCTTTCAGGCCATGAGGCATGGGTACGTTCTCTCTCCTTCACGGAGGATAAACAAAGCAAGTCCGGGGACCTATTGCTCGCCTCAGCC